GACCCATGGACCATGTACATCCATATCCCTGGGATGCTTGTTAAAAGACAGAGATTTCTGGTCTCCAACCCAGGCAAATGGAATCAGGCTCTCAGAGACTTGGTGCTCCTTGTGACGATTTGGAACCAGCTCCAGAGTGCTTCTGCTAGATCTTAATTTTCAGAGTTGCTACCGGGGAGGTCTTGGTTTGAGGTTAGGTTCCTGAGATGGGATTTGGGGCCAGGGCTTGTGGCAGTTGTTCTCCTTCTGCAATGATTCAGACAAGTAGTCTGGAGGAAGGGCAAGAAGTTTAGGGTTACTTGATAGGTGCTTGAGACTTATAGAAAGGCTTTTGCTGCATAGAATTTGACAGCTAGTTGTTGTTCTTGTGAGTACCAGTGAGTCAGGTCCGGCTCATATGACACTGTGTACAGCAGAAGAAAACCCTGCCCGGTCCTGCACCAGCCTCACAGTGGTTCTTACGTTTGAGTTCGTTGCTGCAGCCAGTGTGCTGATCCCTCCTCATTGTCACTGCCTCTTCTGCAGGGGCTGGCTTCTCCTGACAGCATGTCCAAAGGATGTGAGGCCACGTCTCACCACGGGAGGCAATGGTCGTGTGGAATGAAGGAAGGAGTGGGTGGTGAGGGCTCACACTTGGGGGCATCGTGGTCATTTGGAAACTGTGGACACGACGTTGAAGATCCTGAGAGGGGAGTTGGTGGGCAGAGTGCAGAGTTGTGTCTGTGCGTAGGATGAGGGTTGGGGTGGGAATGGGGGGCTGATGTGACCTAGCCTCCTGGCATAGCTCAGGGTGCCACTGACTACAAACTGCAGCTTGAGCCCAGTCCAGCCCGTCTTCGACTGATGGGTGCCCTACGATGGCTGGAGAAAGATCAGAGTGAGAGAATTCAGGGACTCGCGGGGTTAGGGCTGTGCCAGCATAGGCTGCCCCTAACATTTAGATTCTGAGGCTGGGTTGCTGTTAGGACCTTTTGTTAGAAGAGGGGGATGAAGCATTTGCAAGATTTCTTAGAGTGAAAAAAACGAGTACAAAATCAGGCGTTCATACTCCCGGTTTCAGGCTGTGTAAAGCCAAATCATTGCATCCAGTCCATTCCAGCGCCTAGCGACCCGGCAGGGCAGAGTGGAACGGCGGCAAGTGTTTCCAAGGCTGTGACCTCGTGGAAGCAGATGACCACATTTTTCTCCTGAGAAGCCACTGGGCACTTAACCACTGTGCCACCAGGGCTCATTGCATGCTGGCAACGGATCCATGTGGTGTCATGGTTACGCATTGGGCTACTACAGATCGCAAGGCCGTCTGTTTGAAACTGCCAGTCACTTCATGGGAGAAAGATGAGGCTTTCAGCTGCTGTGGAGTGACCATCTCGGAACCCCCAGGGGCAGTCCAATTCTGTCCTCTAGAGTTGCTATTGGTTGGAATCGACTTGATGGCAGTGAGTTTACATTTTTTCGATGCTACGTATTTACCAGAAAAGAAAATGCCAAGGATGGTGGTAAAATGTGAGACAACTAGGCCTTAGTTAAAGTCTTCTCGGAGACATTTAAAAGAAATGGATACAGAAAAATATAGTCATTCCAAAATGAATCGATCACAACTTTTAAGCAGTAATATGTCCATGGTGACAAGTTCAAAGGATACAAACACGAGTAAGATGAAAAATGACATAGAGGAGTGACAGTCCTATTCTCCAGAGACGAAACATTGTTAAGATTCTGTGTGTACATTTCAGGATTTCTGTGCTTTGAAGAAAACACAAATATGAACATAACTGTATAAATGAGGGCCTCTTACACTTTCATTGTTGCATTTTTGACTTTTTTAATGTAGGCATCTCTCCATATCATCAATGCAAAGAAAAGTGGCACAAATGTATCCCTGCATATAGAAAACAATATAACACAGATAGAAAATGAAAACGTCTGTGTTTTCCCATCATTTAACTGGACTGCAGATTATTTAATAATGTCCTGTTGGTGATTATTTCTGTTGTTTCTTGTCTTTTCAAACTAACAAACTCTTTTAAAACAAATTTCTCCTTTTCTTTCTCTTTCTCCATATTAAGATCTCTCTGTCGGAATGTTTCTGTAGAGCAGCATCCGAAAAGCAGATTTATAGTACTAAGGATAAAATATATTTATACTTTTGATAGACACTGCTAAATTAGCCATTCAAATCTTTTTTTAAAATTTGCATTGGCATTTTATTTTTAATCTTTTTTAAATCGTTTTATTAGGGGCTCATACAACTATTATCACAATCCATCCATACATCAATTGTGTACAGCACATTTGTACATTCATTGCCCTCATCATTCTCAAAACATTTGTTCTCCACTTAAGCCCCAGGCATCAGGTATCCATTCAAATCTTATACTAATTTATACTTAATTTGTGATTTACTTTATGCTAAGTAATATCAATCTTTTAAAAAATCTTTGCTCATTACGTACACTTCTTAGAAGTTTTATCCTTTTGCAAAAGCAATTAATTCATATTTATTTCAGGTGAGGATAAAAAGGTAACATCTCTAACTTCCATAGGTGCATATAGGTCCTTTGAAAATAAGAACAAAAACAAGAACATCCCTTCCACCTTTGTGGCTTCTAGTTTGGATGGACTTCCAGTTCAACTGGAAAACCATCTAATAAATAAATTTGAGTCTGGATGTTAATAGTGAGTAACTACTTAGTGATGGCATTCTTTGTATGGGGATATTTGTAATTACTCAGGGACTCCAGGAAATACTCTACCAAAACTCAATGAATGGGCTTATCTTCTAATAGAACGTGAGGTACCTTTTCAGACCACTGGAGGGCCGGAGAGGTGAGGGTGCGTGGGGCGAGTTCTAGGTGTCCTTTTAACATGCCTCATGGTTGAGTGACTTACTGTGTCAGTTCAGTGTTCTTTTGGTTAGTGCCAGAGATGATTACACAACTTTATATAAATCCTCAAAATAGTACATTGTAGTGTCAGAGAGCAAATGTTATCGAACGGGACTTTGTAGACTGAAAAGGTGAAAAGATTGTGAAAGGGGCATTTGGCATGAGTTCAAGCCAACAAGAAAACGAAGGCATCGCTAGGAAAGCCTGTTCCTGTTAACACATGGGATTAAGAAGCACGATTAGAACTGTGGGTAAGTTGGGGGCATTTGTTGGTCTACACTTGAAACACTTTTGTGATGAATGAGACGTTCACAATGGTTTCAAGCTGCATAACCCCAGAAAAAGGAACAGTTTGGAATGGTGTAGCTTGAGAGTAGGGGACAGTTTGAAGCTGTGTAGTCCGGAATAAGGACCAATCTAACCCAGTTTTCCTTTTAACTATGTCTTGGAAATTTGCTTTTAATTTTTATGGAAAAGCATCAATTTCTAAAGCAGAATGCATGAAAGATGGGGCAGCGATATCTTAAAGAGATAGATGGCTTAACAAGAAACCTTGTGAGCAGGGGTGCAGACTAGCCTCGACCTGGGTCCCTACTCCCATGTGTATTCACTTGAGGATGTGTCTCCCTGATTGTAAAAAAGGAGAGAGAGAAAAATCCCATCAATTTAGTTAGTGAATTAATTGAGGGGAAAGGCAGTTTAGCCTAATTGGTGGATCAAAAGAATTGACCCAGGGAAGTTTGAGAGAGATGGATGATAGGTTGAAAATATAGATGTTCTTTTTTTTCAGGTAAGTATTATATAAAGAATATGGGGTAGAGAGTGAGTACCCAGACAGCATTTTCAGACTAAAAACAAAAATTTAAAAACTCACTATTAATGTCTAGACCACGACTCAGATGAGGAGAGTTTTTAAATGGTTGATTTGAATAGGTCTTGGATGGTGACACAGCACACCCCTGCTGCTATAAGATTTAGCCAGAAGAAAATTCATACACCCACATCCTCCTATTAGAAGTGATAGAGCTAATGACCATTGGCCAGTAGTCGCCTCCAGGATGACCTCTGCAAGTTTCATCTGAAAGCTTTGACATTCTTTCTTTCGGGATCTTCGTACACACACCATCATGGTTTCTTGTAGATTTAGAGGATTCTGTAGTGTGGTAGACACAGACTTATAATTTACAGCAGCGTTCACTAATTAAAATGGTAAGCATAATTACTATCCATGATACTTATCATTAGCTTGCATTCATAAAGCTCAAAATTCACTTCACCCCTTGGAGTAGTGAGTAATTAGTTTCTTTGGGTCTATAGCTTTATCAGCCCTTTTACTATCCATTTGCAAGAAACAAACAACCAACTTCCAGCAAGACTGCTTAAGAAGCTGAAAATATATTGTCCAGCTAGTGAAATGAGGCAAGTACAATGTGGGAAAATATGACATTTCTTTAGCTTTACTAGCCAATCTGTTCATGCATTTACACAAGAACTTGTTGTTGGGCAACTAATGTGTACTAGCAACCTTAGGGAGACAAAGATGAATCCTTCTTTAAAGGCTTTATCATCAAAGACCTTAAGGTTTTAGAAAGGAAATCTCTCTCTCTCTCTCTCTCACACACAACCATGTAGTCTGCAGTTATAAGATTCCTTATAACTGTGATATAAGGTGTAAATGACCAAAAGCTCTATAAAAATAAAATATGTGGAGGGGAAAAATGAGGACCTGATGCTGGGGGTTTAAGTGGAGAGCAAATGTTTTGAGAATGACGAAGGCAATGAATGTACAAATGTGCTTTACACAATTGATGTATGTATGGATTGTGATAAGAGTCATATGAGCCCCTAATAAAATGATTAAAAAAGAAAGAAAGAAAAATAAATAAATAAAATAAAAAATATTTTCTGTGTATATCAGCAACAGTGCCTTTAAAAAGAAGGGTTAATAGCTTTGTGAATGTATTAATGAAAGACAACTTGAATACATTTGTTTGATTATTTCTAAGATGCATCAGTGGGAAATGAATTAGGACAACAAAAAGATTCCCTCTCACAGGGTCTCTGATTTTTTTTTTTTCCTAATCGGATTCATTTTTATCATCTCCAGGTCTCTCAGCTGCCATGGCTGTCTCTCTGGGACTCAGCTCTGCCCCCGAGGAAATCCAGCACCCTCAGATTAAGTTTTCGGAGTGGAAGTTTAAACTCTTCAGGGTCAGATCCTTTGAAAAGGCACCCGAAGAAGCTCAATCGGAGAAGGGTTCCTCAGAGGGGCAACCCTCTCTGGAGAAATCTCCAACAGTTCCAGACAAGGCCGAGGGTCAGAAGCCAGTCCTGACCGCACCAGCCCCCAAGCCCCACCCCAAGTTTGTGAAGAACTCTGGTGGCCATGGGAAAGCAAGGGACAAGGCTGTCCACCAGGCCAACCTTCAACATCTCTGCCGCATCTGTGGAAGTGCCTTTAAAACGGTTGGGCACAATAGGAGATACCCAGTCCACGGGCCTGTGGATGGAAAAACCCAAGACCTTTTACGAAAGAAAGAGAAGAGGGTCCCTTCCTGGCCGGACCTCATTGCCAAGGTCTTCCGAATGGATGTGAAGGCAGATACTGACTCCATCCATCCCACCGAGTTCTGCCACAACTGCTGGAGACTCATGTACAGGAAGCTTAGCCATGGCCCGTGTGATGAGACCTTCGCCAGGCATGCCACCATGGAGTGGCACCCTCACACACCAGCCTGCGACATCTGCCAGGCCGCCCGTCTGGGACTCAAGAGGAAGAGTTGTCAGCCCAACCAGCCGCTCAGCAAAAAGCTCAAAATGGTGGCTGACCGGGGGAGGCCAGCCTGTCAGTGCCAGAGAAGAGCGCAGGCGAGGACCCGTAACAGGGAAGTCCTGAAGAAGATTGCCAACTGCAGTAGGATCCACCTGAGCCCCAAGCTCCTCGCCGTGGACTACCCAGTGCACTTTGTGAAGTCCTTCTCCTGCCAGATTTGTGACCACCTTCTGGCGGACCCCGTGGAGACCAGCTGTCAGCACGTGTTTTGCAGGATCTGCATTCTCCGATGCCTCAAGATCATGGGCAGCCACTGTCCTGCTTGCAGATATCCTTGCTTCCCCACTGACCTGGAGAGTCCCGTGAAGTCCTTTCTGAGCGTCTTAAACTCCCTGATGGTGAAATGTCCGGCGCAAGACTGCCGTGAGGAGGTCAGCTTGGAAAAGTATAACCATCATGTTTCAAGCCATAAGGGATCCAAAGAGACTCTTGTGCATATTAATAAAGGGGGCCGACCCCGCCAGCATCTCCTGTCTCTGACCCGGAGAGCTCAGAAGCACCGTCTGAGGGAACTCAAGCTTCAGGTCAAGACGTTTGCTGACAAGGAAGAAGGTGGAGATGTGAAGTCTGTGTGCCTGACCTTGTTCCTGCTGGCCCTGCGGGCCAGGAATGAGCACAGGCAAGCGGATGAGCTGGAGGCCCTCATGCAGGGCCGAGGGTCCGGCCTGCAGCCAGCTGTCTGCTTGGCCATCCGTGTCAATACCTTTCTTAGCTGCAGCCAGTACCACAAGATGTACAGGACCGTGAAAGCCATCACAGGGAGGCAGATTTTTCAGCCACTGCATGCCCTTCGGAATGCCGAGAAGGCCCTTCTGCCAGGCTACCACCCCTTCGAGTGGCAGCCACCTTTGCAGAACGTGTCTTCCAGCACGGACGTCGGCATTATTGATGGGCTGTCCGGCCTGTCCTTCTCTGTGGACGATTACCCGGTGGACACGATCGCCAAGAGGTTCCGCTACGACTCCGCGTTGGTGTCTGCTCTGATGGACATGGAAGAAGACCTCTTGGAAGGCATGAAATCCCAAGACCTTGACGACTACCTGAACGGCCCCTTCACCGTGGTGGTGAAGGAGTCTTGTGATGGCATGGGCGACGTGAGCGAGAAACACGGGAGCGGGCCGGCAGTTCCGGAGAAGGCGGTTCGGTTTTCGTTCACCATCATGAACATTACGTTAGCTCAGGGCGCGCGGAACGTGAGGGTGTTCGAGGAAGCCAAGCCCAACTCCGAGCTGTGTTGCAAGCCCTTGTGCCTCATGCTGGCCGACGAGTCCGACCACGAGACGCTGACCGCCATCCTGAGCCCGCTCATTGCCGAGCGGGAGGCCATGAAGAGCAGCGCCTTGATGCTCGAGATGGGTGGCATCCGCAGGACCTTCAAGTTCATCTTTCGGGGCACTGGCTACGACGAAAAACTCGTCCGGGAGGTGGAAGGCCTCGAAGCTTCTGGCTCGGTCTACATTTGTACCCTGTGTGATGCCACCCGCCTGGAGGCCTCCCAGAACCTCGTGCTGCACTCCATCACGCGCAGCCACGCCGAGAACCTGGAGCGCTACGAGGTCTGGCGTTCCAATCCCTACCACGAGTCCGCGGAGGAGCTGCGGGATCGCGTGAAAGGGGTCTCCGCCAAACCGTTCATCGAGACCGTGCCCTCCATCGACGCCCTCCATTGCGACATCGGCAACGCCGCCGAGTTCTACAAGATTTTCCAGCTGGAGATCGGCGAGGTGTACAAGAACCCCGACGCTTCCAAAGAAGAGCGGAAACGCTGGCAGGCCACCCTGGACAAGCATCTCCGCAAGAAGATGAAGCTGAAGCCCATCATGAGAATGAACGGCAACTTCGCCCGCAAGCTCATGACCCGCGAGACGGTGGACGCCGTGTGTGAGCTGATCCCCTCCGAGGAGAGGCACGAGGCCCTGCGGGAGCTGATGGATCTCTACCTGCAGATGAAGCCCGTGTGGCGGTCCTCATGCCCCGCGCAGGAGTGCCCGGAGGCGCTGTGCCAGTACAGTTTCAACTCGCAGCGCTTTGCCGAGCTCCTCTCCACCAAGTTCAAGTATCGCTACGAGGGCAAGATCACCAACTATTTTCACAAAACTCTGGCCCACGTCCCCGAAATTATCGAGAGGGATGGCTCCATCGGGGCGTGGGCAAGCGAAGGTAACGAGTCCGGGAACAAACTGTTCCGACGTTTTCGGAAAATGAATGCCCGGCAGTCCAAGTGCTACGAGCTGGAAGACGTCCTGAAGCACCATTGGCTGTACACCTCCAAATTCCTCCAGAAGTTCATGGATGCCCACAAGGCGTTGAAAAACTCGGGACTTACCGTAAACTCGCAGGCAACCATGGTGGGGGACCCCTCAGGCCCGGAGGACGCTCTGGAAACTCAAGATTCCATGGAGTTTTAAGCAGGCAACCTTAGCTGAGTTGGTTTGGCAAATGAGCCTCCCTCTGGGTGGCGCGGAGGCCTTCCCCTGGCACCCTTCACTACTGTGTGCGGAGGGTCACCACCCAAGAGCGAGCTGGGTGGAGTCAGAGGTCTCCCAGGCTGACACCGTGTCAGAGGTGGGCGACGGATGAGCTAGCTGAGGGGCTGACTGGAGCCGATTAGCGAGTTCAGAGCAGCCACAGGAGAAATCCGGTTTCCTTTTTGGAAAGCTCGGTCTTTCAGAGCAGCAGCAACTGCAGGGGATCCGAGATGAACTAAGAGGGGTGAGCAAGGAGCAGAATGTCAGGAAAACCAAAGCCAAGGTGGTCAAAGATGGACAGGCAGTGAGGCCTGGGCAAGAATTTTGTTTTGTGGTTTTCATGTTTTCTCCTCAATTTTTTGGCTTTTGTATGGGGATCTAATAAGTATTTTCCCCCCCTTACAGGGTCTTTCCTTTTGGTAGAGCTCCTTATTTTATAAATTCCATATATCTTGGTGTATGATACCAGCTTCAAAAGTGTTTCATATTTTGCTAACCACATTGTACACATGGGTGGCATGTTGACCTTTGCCAAGTGTCGCCCGGGCATCTTGGGGTGTAGAGCATTTATGCAGAAATAGCCTCTAACAAGAACATTTTTGTGGAGATCAGTCATTGTCCAACTTTCCCTTGTCTGTTTGTGGTAACCTTAGGAGTTTAGGAGGTCATCTGGAGCCATGATTTTTTCAGGCATGAAATTACAAGTACACAGATGCTAGCCATCCATGATCATGAAATCTTCTGACAACACATGTGTTTACTTTACTGTCAGTAGCCAGGTAGGATTCTTGAGTTCTACTTTCAAAATTTCAGCGAATTTAGAGTTTCCAAATGCATTTCAGTTCAACCCCTAGAGCCACTGAGGTTCGCTCACCAGAAAAATAACATAGATTTACTGAAAACTTTCAGTCAGCCTTCTCTTGGTGACAAAATTCACAGAATTCAGATTTCTTAGATTTTCCTACTTTCAGATCGTCTTTGCAATTCTTTATAATGACCGGATCACGTTCAGTGTGGTCCACTTCCCAAGCACCTTCAGTTTAGATGGAGACCACTCACAGGAAGTGGTCCTGTGTCGTTTGCTTCCCACTTTTGGAATGTTTGCACACACTTTCACCTCCGTTTTCTGCACAACTCCAGATCTTGTGATTACCTCCATTTGATGTGTGTGTGTGTGTAAATGATTTCCCTCAAATTACAGGGCTAATTTCAGGTGCCTAACCTGGAATTTGAACTCAAGATTCTTGTCTCCAAATGCCATCTTCTCTCCATCACACACACACACACACACACACACACACACACACACAGCCATTATGTTTGTTCACAAGAAAGAGCCTTCTTGGTGCAATGCAGCTAAGTGTCCAGCTATGGACTGAGAGGCTGGTGTTTTTTATATTTTGAATTTTTTCCTTTTGGTTTTGTTTTCAGGTAGAATTAGAATTTGTTTAGGCTTCCTATTTGTTAGGCTCTATTTTGTGGGTGGAGGAGAGGAATCTTTTGTATGCTTTGGATCTTTTGATATAGGAAAGCTAAAACTCCAGAGAGCGTCAACGACTCTTAAGGTTCTGGTTAACTGGAAATCCTTATCTGTCTCCTGAGGAATTTGGGCTTTGGACGGTTGACTGGCACTTTGGAGTAGGCATGAGATTTACATGCTTGTGAGTCATAATGATGGGTTGGTGTGAATTACTTTCCCCACTTCCTTTAATTTTATTGACCATCACGGCCATTCTTCATACACAGCCTCTCACAGAGCTTTGTAATCTGGTTGTCAAACTTGGGTCAGGGACTACCTTACGGTGTAACACGACTTTGCTGCTTTTACAGGGGGTGAAGCCAGTACTTGCCACTGGGGTAAAAGCAACACAGCAGTCCTTGTCTTTTTGTGTGTGTACAGAATATCAAAGACATGTGTAATTGAGTTATCAAAATCATATCCATATTTTAATTTTCTTTTTCTTTCTTGAAAACTCTTAGCTGGGCATTTTGAGAACACATGGGCTTCAGGGCTACCCCTTCCCTTTACCCTGTCTAACCCTTACAGCATCTTCCTGCACAAAGAGAGAGCCACGTTCATGTGGCTCTCTGAAGATACTTGGGTGATTCCCCCCTCCTCCCCATCTCCACTATGTGGCTCCATTGTAACACTTTCCACTATTAACACTCCCCCCGCCCCAGCCCCGCTTTCTCACCTTGTAGGAGCTATTTGGAATGCCTGTGATTAGCAGTATGATTTATAGCACAACCCACCCAATAATCCCTTAATCAGATCACATGTTGATAAGCCCCAGGAACACCTGTCTGCAGGGATCTCAATATGTAGAAATGCTGTCTATGGTCGTTTTGTTTTGTATTTTGCCCTCCCTGCAGAGATTGCAGTAGCCCAGACTGGGAATCTTTCTACATGAATTTGCTTTTCACAATGCCCTTTGTAAACGCACTCACATCCTCTGAGGAAATTCACCAGACTGGATGGAGCGTGTATCTATACGTTTTTGTACTTTTGAAAGATAGCCTGGGACACAGCAGTGCAAGCTCTGGAAACCCGACGCTAGGAGTTTCCCCGCCGCCCTCGGAGGCGCACTGAGGGGACCAGTGCTAGTGGCTGATGAAACTGATGAATGGTCGTGCTTGGTCAAAAAGCACCTTGGGATTCATAAACAGGCACAGAGAAGCCAGAGCAGGCAGAAAAGATGGCTTTTCCTTCCAGGTGAACTGGAATTTCATTTTGCCTCCATTTGTTTCCTCCCAATCTGGATGCAGATAAAGATTTGGGTGGTTGTTTCCTGAAGTACAGATTTCACAGGCCCACATCAAACAGAATTCAAATTCCACGCAGCCAGCAGGCAGGATTGGGGAACGACAGTGGTGGTAGGGATGAACAAATTGTCTTTCGGATGTAAAGGATTTTTGATGGCAGATATGTGCATGGCTTCACTGCCTGAGAGAGGGTGTCTTCTTTTGATGTTAAAAGATTTTTAAAGAGCAGATACTTTGTACTTAAAAAAACTTTTACTACAGTCATCTCCATACATGTACCTCAGAATTTATTTTTTTATAAGGTGTCTCTTTTTAAGGAATTGCACTCCATTGTGTTTTCTTACCAATAATGTAACAGTTTGTTTCCTGGCTCCCAGGAGCCTATTTGATTGTTCTTGGTAAAGTTGCTGTTTTCAGGAAGGTCCAGGTCCCGGGACACAATGGATTTCTTGGATGTCCAGAACCTGTCTTTTCTGGTCAAGTGTTTTCAAATGAAATAACATGTCAGTTTTTAATACTTATTTTTATATCTTAATATTTTGCCTCCTTATTACCATGGCAGTTATTGTTAATGATTTTTGCTTAAGAATTTGAAATAAAAGTTTAAGCTTGGAAAATTGTGGGTGTTGTGATTTATATGCAAATAGTCATCTGGAACATGCCATTTCCACTCTAAATAACACCACCCCGGTGCCCTGCTCTCCCCTCTAGGGTGCTGCAAGACAAAGTTGGTGATCTTTGGAATAAAGGGCACCAAGAGAGTACTAATGAGTCTCATTTATCCTAATGTGGAATGAGATCAAGCGGCTCTGGATTACACCCCATGAAACTGAAGGATTGCCAAATCACTCCTTTGAGAATTTGATGAAGGTGTGGACCTGTTCCCCCAGAGAATTCAAAATACTCAGCATTTTGCTCAGAGTTCTGGACTTGCCCAGAGCTACAGATTAGGACAGAACTAAACTAGGGTCCAGCTCCATTGGCGCAGTGGCTATAATAATAATAATAAAATAATATGATTTCCTAATAACAATAACTGGTAATAACCATTTGCCAAAACTCATTTTATTTTCTCTCTCTCTTTTCTTTGCTAAGCACTTCATCCAAATATTCTAATGTGATCTTTTGGGAGTGCTTATGATCTCCATGTTGCACACACAATTACAGAGGTTTATTTCAGCCACAAAATGGCTGAGCCACACCTGCACAATGCTCCCTCTCGCTCTAAGTCACTTCCCACTACTCACACATCTCCTCCCCATCCAAGCGTGTTCAAATGTCACAGTCCCCCACTATCCAGCATGCAACAGACTGCTCCAGAGCGAGGTTGGTGGTTCAAACCCAGCAGCTGCTCCCAGGGAAAAGATGCATCAACCTGCCCCCACCATGACAGATGGTCTCAGACTCCCTATAGAGGTCTGCTCTGAGTTGGAATCAACTGTATGTCAGTGGGGTATTTGTTTGTTTGTTTGTTTTTGTAGACGCATCATTGCTGAAACTTCCCGACTTTCTTCCACTCCAACCTGAGACAGCCTGGCTGCTTCTGTGCAGCTGTTCCCATGCTAAACATGTTGAAACACACCATGGAGTCCATTCCAAGTCATGTCACATTAGTGTTGGGGGTCTTTCCGCAGTGCTACTTTGTGCGTTGAACCTGCCAGCCGTTTGATTAGTAGCTGAGTGGAAACTGGGGCAGTATATCTGCACTTCTAGAGGAACAGCTTGTACCTCAAGGTCCCAAGTGCCCTCTCTCTCTTCTGGAGGCTCTGCACCCTCCCTCGGACCTCTCTATAGTGCAGCAATTAACAGGTTAATTCCCAGCACAGCTGGTAGCCTCAAGACTAGGCTCCAGAAAGCCTTCGCTCTTACCGTGTAGGGCCCAGCTAAGTTCTGCATCATTCTCGATGCCCTGTCTATCAATTTTGGTCTATAGACAAATATTTATAGGGTGTCTTCTCTAAGCAGGCAATGTGTGCTTGGCACTGCAGGTACAGTGGTGAGTGAAATAGGTTCTGTTTACAAGGGGCTCGAGGGAAGACAAACAAATGGCTAGATCCTAATGCTAGTTCGTGGGAAAAATACAAGTTGCGATCCAAGTGCAGCAGGAAGTACAGGGATCAATGGGAAGTACAATTATGCACTTTCCTGTTGTCATCCAATGGACTCAACTGGTGGTG